CCTACCCCTGCCCTCTGGCAGTTGGAAGCCATTCCCTGCTGTCCTGGCCCTCCAGGCCCTTGGAATCAGTCCCTCTCCAGCTCCATTTATTCCTCCTGTCCCGTGCACCAGGTCAGGGAAGAATCCAGGAATAGTTTGGGTTGGGAGGGACCTTCAGGCTCATCTCCTTCCACCCCCTGCCTTGGACCACAGAGGAGGCTTTGGATGCTTTTGATGCTTTTCCTTCCCAATCTATTCTTGGCTCTTTTTTTTTTTTTGGCTTTTCCACTGCAAAAGCTCAGCATTCAGGTACTGATGGAGATCAGAGACTTGTGAGAAGCTGTTCAGCCCCCAAACTCCATCTGCTTGGTGGTTTTTTTCTTGTTTTTTTTTTTTTTATTTATTCTGCTGCACTAAATAAAGGCAGGGAGATAAAAGTCTCTGCTTGGCACCCACTGGAAATTCAGCAAAACAAAGCCTTGGAGGAGAATTACATCACCAGCCTGAAGGTTTCAAAGCTCCTCCAAGCTGTGCTGCCGAGGTGCAAAGGTGTCACAGTCCCAAAAAGCCTTTCAGGATGCCCAGCTCAGCCCTGCTGTGGGATTAAGAGCCCAAATCCTACCTGATGGAAGCTTAGGGAGAGCCTGGGGGAGGGCAGAGCTCCAGATTCCCTCCCCTGGCACTGCCCCCAGGCTCAGAGCAGGACTTGTGTAAGTCAAGGTGAGAGAGAGGAGAAGTGGGGGTTGGAGTGGGCAGTGAAAGGTGTAAACTGGGAATTCCTGGCCTTGGAACAGCCTGTTGGGGATGGGGAGCAGGGTTTTCATTCCCCAGTTCCAGCTGAAGGGTAAAAAATAATTAAAAAAAAAGCCCTCCCACAGCTGGGCAGCTTCAGTTTGTGCCACTCCTTGTGGGGGGGTTTCTCCCCTCAAAATAAGGGAGTTTTTGGGGCTTTTTTTCCATGCAGAAAAAACCTGGGCAGGGAAGGAAGAATCTCACCCTGGATAAAAGCTGATTGACAAAGAGGAGGAGCCAGGGGGAGGTCACAAAATGTCGTTTTCCACCTTCAGGAGGAAGAAAAAAAACACCCAAAAGTGGGGGAAAAAGGAGGCTCTGGGGGACCTTCTCACTCCCTGACAGGAGGGGGGAGCCAGGGTGGGCTCTGCTCCCAGGGGACAAGGGACAGGACAAGGGGAAATGACCTCAAGGGGAGGTTTAGGTTGGATATTAGGGAATATTTCTCCATGGACAGGGATTTTCAAGGCCTGGGAGTCCCATCCCTGCAGGGATTTACCAGCCCTGTGGATGTGGCTCTTGGGGACGTGGTTGGACTCGAGGATCTTGGAGATCTTTTCCAACCTAAAGGATTCTGTGATTGTACAAAAATAATTGGAGGGGGGGGGGAGATTTCCCTTCCCAAAATCCAACAAAACCCAGAGTCAGATCCCCCCTGAGGCTCAGGGGGGGAGATTTCCCTTCCCAAAATCCAACAAAACCCAGAGTCAGATCCCCCCTGAGGCTCCAGCCAACCCTGCTCTGCGGGGGCTGCTCAGCTCCTTGTGCAAGAGGGGAAAAATCCTGGAGCAGGAGCTCTTGGCACAGCTCCCACCGTTTGTGCCACTGCAGGTGAGGCCTTTTGGCCCCAGTCAGTGCCTGGGAATTGCTGATTTGTTTTTTGTAGTTTTGTTTTTCCCTCCAAACGTGCCCCCCCTCCCCGTGCCCCGTGTCCCCCTCCCCGTGCTGTCACACACCTGCTGCCTGTTCTCCCCCTCCAGGCTGAAGCTGTGGAGATGGATGGATTCCAGGCAGACACTGAGGAGGATGAGGAAGATGATGACTGCATGATTGTGGATGTACAGCCAGCAAAAGGTGGGGATGTGAAGGGACAGCAGTGCCTTGGCTGAGCAGGGACTGAGTGTGCAGCTCAATGGGGGGGTTCTGCCCCTTTTTCACCACCCCTTGAGCTTTTCTCTCTCTCCATCTTTCATTCCAAACACTTCTCTGCTTGTTATCATTTTTTTTCTGGATGCTTCTTTGCTATTTCTGGTCTTCTCTAACCTGCTCCTGCCTTTTCTTTCCCTCCTCCTCCTCCTCCTCCCTCCGACTGCCTAAATAGCACAAAACACTTGTGACTGGCACTCGGCTGCCAGCATTACCTGTTTGTTTCTGGGAGGAGAAAAGTGAACATGAAGGCTTTGCACCAGCACATCCACTCATTACTGGGGAATGTTGCTGCTCCCCGGGGTGCTCAGAGCCCTTCCAAGGTGTGGGTTGTGAGGAAACAACGAGGTTGTGCTGAAGGAACAACAGCCAAGCTCAGATCTGCTGCCCTGCCCCTCAAACCCCAGCAGTTTTTGGTTATCTGTGTCCCAGTTATCCCTTGGAAAAACGGGCTTCAAAGCCCCAGTGGTGCAGTGGATCCGTGCAGGGGGTGGGACGAGGATGTGGAGCAGCTCCTTTGATCTCGGGGAGGTTTTGAGTCGACACCGGGCACGTGACGGGGCTTCAGAACCTCGGAGCTCCTTCCCTGCT